TAATATGGTGAAGCGCGATTCTCTTGTCGGCTTTATTACGCCTCTAGTGGTAAATTATGTTTACGTTATTTACATCTTGGATAATACCTAATTTATCACAGATTGGTTACCCTACCGACTCACCTATGGCTGTTCTGTTATGACATATACTTTACGTAAATGAATGACTAGATGCGTACAAAAACTTCAAACTAGAATATTTCAAAAGCGAAAGCCCATTCTACGGAAACCAATGAGGGTTTTGTAACACTATATGTGTACTACAACTTGTATATAGTGTCATTTCAAAAGCGATTAGCCGACCCGTAAGTTCTCCTTGTAAGCGTGACAATTAAATTGTTTTAGACAAAATATATTTAAAAAAGAGGGATGTGATTTATGACACTATCTAATTTTTTTATAATATTTTGGTGTATTCTTAACAGATTTAAACAGGTTCTTCGCCTATCCAATTGCGATTTCAACGTACGCTATGCTGGTAGATTCCCCGATTCGTTTAACAAGCTCAAGATCGTTTGATAGATTTACAGGGTAGAATGGTGTCAATTAGGTTGATCATATTGGACGGCAATTAAACAAAGGGAACAAGACGACGCGACGGTTGTTTCGGTTTTAACGATCGATGGAACGAATGGCGAAGGAGGGACCGTTTCTTGTCGCCCGCTGAATTACAGGGATGATTTTAAGTTCGCTGGACGACATCTAGCAACCACTAACGTCTGATTAAATACGGTGATTAAATGGTAACGAGCGGGGCCGAGTCAGCAAAGTATAAATCGCTAATTTAGAAATCTAATAACGCGTCCCGACCGTCATGGAATAATCCATAATCCGCGATAGAATTCGCCCAGTCAAGGGATTATACGTCTACTAATGGACATTGGTTTCAAGCGGTGTTCGTCCAATTAAAATTCTGCGACTTCAGATTCGTTCGTTAAAGGCACTACCGATGACGTAGAGCCGCCATATCCCGCGTGTTTGCGGGATTTTTTGTCCAGCCAGAAGGAGAGAGAGAGAGAGAGAGAGAAGGAAAAAAAGAAGGAATTTTGAGGAATGGATGATTTCTTCCGACTTCACGATTGAAACAACTTCTGCCGAGATTTTTTCACTGTCAATTAGCGAGGACTTTTGAGCAATAATAAACTTAATTCAGCGTTCTCTTGTTCTCGATGCCCCGTTTTTTCCTTCTCTCTCTCTCTCTCTCTCTCTCTCTCTCTCTCTCTCTCTCTCTCTCTCTCTGTGTCGTTTATTTCGAAACAAGTATCATCGTCCAAATCAACGAGACTGAAATTCGAGTAACATTAGTAGCGTTTAATAGATTCATAGTGTCAGATTAAATGAATGATAATTAGTTCTTTCCATCCACGGGGCGACCGCAATCGTGCGGCAATTAGGAGGAAGCGGAGTCGGAAATTGCCTCGCTACGGTAAAAAAGACAGCTAATGCCCGAACGATTTACTACGGAGGTCAATCCACGGGGGAGAATTATCAGAGGGAATTACAGAGAGAGGCACATTAGTATCTTCGCGTTATTTAAAACTTTGCTGGTTTCTTGTTCACCGGAGTCCACCGAGAAAATTTCTACCTGATGCGATTACACGAAAAGTGAACATCGTGCTTTCCGTGTTACGAAAATGCGTAGTTGATTGCCGTAGCGATTAGCGGTAGGTGACGCTAACAAGTCAATAAAAAACAGTTCATTCCGGCAGTCAGTTACAATATAATTGATTAAATTAAATCGTATTAAATCTCTTTTTTAACTGTGTGCAATTGTTAGCCAAATGTGAAATATTTTTCTACAATTTACACTCTGTAATAGTGATGTTTTATTATCCATTCTTTTCAGCGTACTAAAAAAGAAGAAGAGAATAGCATCGTATACAGGGTGTCCACGCAAGTGGGTTAAACTGTATGTGTAAAACAGTAGCAAGTAGAAAAAATTCAATTAAGCAAATTTAAATGGTTTCGTGTGATGTATCATCTGGTGAATGTGTCTGTTCCGGAAGTGGAGACACTTCAGAGATTTCTAGGCCACCACCATTTAAAAGAAAATAGGTATATACACTGAGCGTCAAAATTAAGGGACCACTAAAATTTGCCGAAAATATGGGTCATTTTCAAATGACTATATCTCCGCGAAAAATAGTTATAAAAAATATTGTATACGACCATTTTGTAGCCTGAAGTTTCTGGTTTTTGAATCGGGAATTCAAAAATTATTTTCACGTAGTATGTTCCATTTTTTTAAAGATGAAGCGCAGCAAGCGAATGTTAAAAAATGTTGGTCAACTTTGAGGAGATGCGTGGGCCAAATAAAAGTTTTTCTGGTAATCCCAATGGAACACTTTTAGAGAGCAAACTTTTTTCTTTAATTCTCTTTTTTTAATTTTGTTCTACAGTTTTTATTGTCTGAGTTATTCGTCATCACATGAGAAAAGGCACTTTCCACATTGAGCGCCTGTAACTTGCGAACGCATGATCGTATAGAAAATTCCAAAAGAATTTTGGAAAGCTGAGAGATTTCTCTTTAAAGTTCTTCAGTTGCCAATTTGCTGAAAATTTCCTTCGTCGTATACAGTCCATTTCAAAATAACGTAAAATATTGCATAATTACCATTTTTCACAAAACACGATGCCATTTCAACAAAAATCGTGGAATCTTCCATGTGTCCACGTGTTTTCCAAGTTAAAAGTACACGTAACCCCTGTGCCAAAGGCCGAGCTGATCAGATTTTTTTTACCCTATG